TGTGGCCACGGCTCGATATCGTACCTAGTGCGGGTAGCGGCAACTAGTGGCATGGCATTCTTCATATATTCTTCTGCAGTGTCGGCTGGAGGCGGGCGGATTATACGTCTCAGCATCGTATCATGACATTTGTAGAGGCGGCTAAACCCAGAGACCGTCAAATGCAGGCTTCCGATACAGTAAGTGAGGGCAGGGCGGACACAGCGGTCTAAGGCATTGAGTCGCTTGCTGAGGCTGATTTTGGGATTGACCACCAGATTCTTGTGTACAGCCCACGTGCGCCACGCACGTTGGATCCTATTGCCCACCTCCGCCGTGCAACTGCGATCGGAGGCTATGTGCGTTCCTAAAACCTTGAGACATTCCGCCCTTTCGCGGCAGGGGATCAAGGTGCCACGCACGCGAAGCGTGCCGATATAAGAGGGGTACGCGTGGCACCACTCCATCTCATTGATTGGGACCTCCAGGCCACTTTTGCTCAAAATACGAAACCAGTTCTCGGTCATGACTGCGGCCATCGAGGCCGAACGAGCTAAAATCCAGAAAATGTCGGCAAACCTCATAATCCCTAAATGAAGATCCCCCCCCCCCCCCCCCCCCCCCCTGGCATCGCGAGACAGAGCCCCCACCCGTTTTCTCGGCAGAGGTGCTGGAATCTACGGAGGTCCGCATCCAGGAAAACGTTGCTCAATTCGGGCGCCGCTGGGTCCCCCTGGATCAGGCTCCTCTCCCGACGGACGCTTTTGGTGAGCGGGTTGCCTGGCAATCTGATGCGAGCGGCAGAGTTGCGGGTCTCTCTAATCCAGAAGCTGCTAGCGATGCGGGACACTCCGTGCTCATCCAAGCGCTGTGCCAGGAGGGGATGTCAGATATAGTCATTAAACTTACGGATGTCCCCCCCCCCGCGACCACGAGTGGGGGGGGGCACGATATTCACACAACTTTTCAACTAGATGGCGAAGGCTATATATAATCTCGCGCGCCTGATAGCTGCGGCGAAATGCAAACTGGCACTCTGAACGATCGGTCTCCAAGATAGGGCGCTGGATCTCCAGGACCATCATCGACAGGATTTTCAGCAACACCGAGACCAGGGCAATGGGTCTGAACTCGGCCACCTTCTGGGCCTCGGGTTTCTTGCGGATCAGCTGAACGACGTGCTCAGTCCAGGCTTGGTTGAAATACTCACTCACGTGGTTGCAGAGTCTCAGGCGAAAGGCCGCGAGGATCTGTTCGAGGGCGTCGTCCTGGAGTCCCTGGATCATCTCAGCCACGATCATGTCAGACTCGGCACGCGATTTGCTACTCTTCATTTGCCCCAAGACTGTTTTGAGAAGAGGAAGGGGGAGGGGCCTCAGCCTGCTGGTGCTCGGCGGCCCACTGGCTGCGCACCCAGGCGGGCAGGGCCTGGTCGCTGGTCGGGTCGGAGAACAGGTTGGCGTAGAAGGCGCGGGTCAGCTCGCAGCGGGCCTGCGCGGCGTTGGCGCTCAAGCCGTCGTCTGCTTCAGCTCGCACCCGGGCTTGCCCGAGCGGTAGGGTCTACCTGCCCGCCCCCTCGCGCACAGTCGTTCCAGGTGGACGGTGTTGCAGCGGCCCCTCAGGGCGCGCTTGGCCTTTGCCACCGTGGGCCCCAGCAAGTACCGCGCGCGGAGGTCCGACTCCTGCGCGCGTAGCTGCTCCAGGCGCTTCAGGTGGAGGAGCTCGGGGTCGCCCTGCGGGGGCCCCCAGCGCACCCGACGAGGGACGTGGCCGGCCACAGCTGCGCCAGCGGAGATCGCCGCCGTCAGCGCGGAGATGGAGGGCGTTCCCTGTCTGGAGCACGCGGCCAGCCTTGGCTGCGGGTTGAAGAACTGCGCGAAGGCGTCGCCGCCATCCCCCCTGGATATCTCCGAACAACGTCGTTTGCGGGCTCTGGTCTCGGCAATCTTGCGATCGCTAACTCGTTTGCGGTACTCTTCCGCCCCCCAATCGTGAGCAGGGCGTGGCCGTCTCCAATGGGCTGTGCGAAAGCGCCTGTCAGCACCTCGTTTCGCCCAGAAGTCCGCCTTCTCATTGCCAATGTTGCCGCTGCGCCCCATTGACCCAGCATGTGTGCAAGTCAAAATACGCGGCAGCCCTCTTCCACAAGTGCACGGCCAGGATCGCCAGAGGAGCGTTCTCACGCGGTTGGAATACTTCGGTGATGAGCCCCTGTGCGCACGTCGAGTCGGCAACCACCTGGATGAGTCCACCGTCCTGGGCCGTTGGCTCCGAGGAGCCCCGCTGTCCCAGCAGCCATAGGAGCGCCTCCGCGATCGCCGAGAGCTCCCCCGTGTTCGCTGTGAGGGAGCACGCGCCCAAGTACCGGGGGTCCTGAGGAGTGGTAACCACAGGGCCACACGCCTCGACCAACGGCTCGTCCTGGTCGCGTGGCGAGGTGGCGCGGTAGACGGCAAAGCCCCATCCTGCGCAGGAAGCCTGGCGCTTCCCATATCTTCGCCCCCGCGCCGAGCCGTCCGTGAAGATGCCCAGCGCGTTCGCGAGGTCGCCCTCGGTGAGGCCGTCCGTCGCGGTCGGGAAGTGCGGCACCTGCAGCGTCGAGCAGACCGTCTCATTGAAAAGATAGGCGTCCTCCAGCTGCCAGGCGACGGGCTTGCGCGGCGGTCTCTCCATCAGGTCAGCGCCCTCGATGGCTTGCTCGTGCTCGGCGATCGTCGGGGTAGCCGTTGACGCATGGCAGTGCAATATGATGGAGAGATGGTCGCTCTGCTCTGCGTCCGCGAAGCGGGCCAGGCACGTCACTGGAGTGAGCCAGTCGCGATGGCACAACATGAAGTCGATATGTCCTGGCTCTTTTCGGATGTCGTAGTCGCATGCGGCTTGTCCCCGTTGTCCTCGTGAGAAAGTGTTGGTGGCAACTAGGTCTAATTCAGCCATCAGATCGAATGGCATCTCCCCCCGCCATGTCATCTTGGTGGCCGAGTGTTGGCCAACCGTCTCTCCGCCCCCAATCCCCAGGCCGTCCTGGGCGTCGACGCTGACAATGGCATGGCAATCAAAAGGCATCGTGATCAGACGCTCCCTGAGCTGCGCGATGGTCTCAGCGTATTCACGACGAACAGTGTGAGAAAACTGGTGGCTCGTAATCAGACGAACGCGTCCCCAGACAGGCAGCTGTAAGTCCAAGGATACGGTGCGAGTGTGGAAGCACGGCGGGCCCGCGATGGAAGGGGCCAAGGATTCATGGACCGCTATCGCGCATCTTTGCCAGGCCCCCGCTGGAGGCGACACGTGAACGACATAGCCATCGAAGGGCTGCGCGGCTCCACCAGCCACGCACCACTCTTGGAAAAAGGATAACTCGAACATCAAATTCATCATGCAAGTCGTCGAGGAGTTGTTGCCGCCTCCTGGCACCACGGGCGCCTCTCACATTCCACCCCAGAACTGCGTTGTCCCTGACGTCCCCGGCAAAGCGGCGACCCCTCGACTGAAATCACTGGGGTCTGGGCGGGTCATTGATCTCCCCGAGCCGCTCCGAGAGCTTGAACTCGGCGAGCTCCTGGTCTAGCAGCGCCTTGGCCAGCAGCTCGGTGCAGATCTCCATCAGATCCGTGGTGCGCGAGCGCTGCAGGATCCTGATCGGCCTCTCGTTCCCATTACGACGAAAGACCACCTGGCCGCGGCCCCAGTCGCCGTCGAAAGTCTTCATCTTCGAGTCCGCTGTGCAGAGGTTCTTGGCTTCACCATATTATCTGGGCAGCCTCGCGGCATAGGATACTCGCCTCGACAACTCCACCTCGTGGGGCTCCTGGTCAACTTTGTGCCACAGCTGGTCATTCTTGGCCCCCTGGCATGGTATCTTGCGACCCCTCCAGGCCTTCATGAAATTCCACATCTGCCGGTTGCTTCCGAAAACCACCTTCGACTGATCACAGAATCGCCCGACACCGTAAATCTCAGTGATGCCCTGCGACTCGAGCGAGGCCCTCTCGCTCAACTTCGCACGAAGGTGGGTCTCGACCTCGTCCTTGCCCCACGTGCCAGGAAAGCCCGCCACGAAGACCACATGCTTCGTATTCTTTCCCCCGCGCTGAGCCTGGGGAGCGACGAACTGATTCTGGTCGCCTGGGCCTCTGCGCAGGAAGTCGCTCCACGGGTCCGCCTGGCACGCCTGCCCCGAGCCCAGTCCAGGTCGCAGAGGAGCTCCGCGGCCAGCGGCTGTGCTGGCGTTTGACGACGGGGCGCGCGAGGCTGCCTCCAGGGCGTCGAGCCTAGCGCGCTGGGCCCGCTGCTCAGCCTGGATGGACGGGATGGAGGCCGAGCTGGAGTTCACCGTGGTCTGCAGGGCCGCGACCTGGGCCTCGACGGCGTCCACCTTCACACGCATGCTCGTGGTCACCGCACTAATAATATACTGGGCCAGTGCCATCTGCGACGGATCCTGCGGGGGTGGCGGCAGCTTGGCGCGGCCACCCACAGGGGCCGCCTCGGCGTCCGTCAGCTCCTCGTCGTCCAGCTCCACGGCGGCAGGGGCCCCGCCAATCTTCTGGCGGATCCGACGGCCCTCGGCGTCTGGCCCCGCGACACCAGCGGCCGCGGCTGGGGGCGGGAGCGGAGGCATCGGCGCGAACATGGCTGCTGCAAAATGCGCGCTCCACGTGTCTATCAAAAGCGAGAGTGCGGCGGGGTGCGAGAAAGCTCGGGCCAGGCCGAGCAAAGAACGTCTCAGGTTGGCGGGCGCTCGACCTGGACACGAGGAATGCCCGTCCTGACAGGGTGCCGTCTTGAGCTAAAATGGTGGTGACGGTGTGACAATGACGATGACGGCGATGGCGACAACGACGACGATGAGGATGATGAGTGATGACGAGTTATCGTGAATGATGGGTTATGAATGAAGATGGCCTCTAATGCTTATGATCATAATGACGGTGATGATGGTGAAGGGGAGGGGGAGAAAGAGGAGAAGGAGGATGAGGAAGAGTACGATAATGCTCAGAAGGTGAAGTGGCAGGGTGCGGACAAGAAACAAGAGGAGACGAGAGAGGCGCACTGGGAGGAGATCAGGCATGGAATTTGAGAAACGGGATAGCTGCGCAAACACTAGCACTAGCAGCAAGAGAAGCAACACCGCTCCCGCCCCGGAAAGCTCTCGGAAGCCCACTCCCTGCCTCGCGCGGCAAGTCGCACCGTCAATGTTGAGGTTCGCCCTGTCGTCCTCGTCCTGCTTGTGCTCCCGTGATGGAGGGGCGAAGGGGTGCGCCCCCACTCCTGCCCCGCTCGCCACAGATCCACTCAGCCGTCCTCACCTGGGAGGGGCCCAACTACCCGCCTCGAACGATCCCAACCGGGACAATTACACGCCCGAGATTGGTGGTGCACACGCCCCGCATGGCCATGGCGGGGAGGGCGTGTGCAGTCATCGTGGTGCTCAATATGAGCGCTTCTTACGGTAGATGCTATGTTTGGACATGTTAGGAACGACAATATGTTTTCACATGAGCCTTTATGTGTGCATTGCCTTGGGTCAGGGCCATTTGCTTTGTATCTTATCTTGTATGCTTGCACCCTCTGTGGCTCGCAATTTTTCTGGCTCGAAGGCTTGCGGGCTCCAGCGAGCCCAGAGCCTCCGTGCCGAGGCGGCACCAGACTGCTCACTGGGCTCCTGGAAGCCCGGGGGGGAGGAGACCGAACTGCAGGAGCGCATCCACTTGCTCAAGGACGAGAACCGCAACCCCCGCGACGGCCTGCTCGCCACCCCGGAGAAGTTCAAGAACGTGAGGATGGCGCCCGTGGGCGGTGTCAGGACGAGGGTGGCGCCGACGGTGCTGCACGAAGTGTACCGTTCGGGGCGTACGGCAAAGGTCGAGCTGGGCGAGTGGCTGAGGCGGAGCTGCAGCGGGCGACGGTCAGCACCTAGCTCATGATGCTAGCTATGGTCCTGGATCGGATGGTGTCCGAGGGCGCCTGCGAACAGCTCATCAGCAGGCCTGCCGCGGAGCTGACCTTTCCCACCGAGAGCGCTGTCTGCCCGGCCGTCCACCCAGGGCCTGGACGAGAAGATGGTTCAGATGACACTCATGAGGGTCCAAAGGGGTGTGGCGGCCATCGGAAACGCTTCTACTGAGAAGGAGGAGGCGACCCCGCAATAAACTGCCATCATCCGCGACTTCTTGGACCGGCACGCCAAGCCGGAGTGCTGGGGGACCATCAGCGACGGCAGGGCGGTTGTTAGCCGTCTGGGAGGCGAAGGAGTCTCGGGATACCCCAACTCGAGTGCGAAGAAGGCGAAGGAGATTTCAATCATGATTTGATCACAGGGAGACCTGTGTCCGCTGGTGGCGGAGCGGGTCTCGGTGCCACCTCACGACACGAACGGGCTCCAGATCGGCAACCTGTCCAAGGTCGCGGGGGCCTACCTCCACGACGCGAACGATATGATCTGGGACGCAGGCCACGTCGACTGGGAGCGCTACCAGAACACCAAGAGGAAAGCGTTTCTTATGTTCGGCGATGACACGCGTCATGGGGAGGGGGGCAGGGGGGGGGTATGACGTAACGCGCCCCCCCCCCCCCCCGCCGCGTGGCTCGGGCAGCACAGCCGCGCCCGCGCGCACGATGCGACGAGCGACAAGCGACGACGACGACGACGACGACGCGAGCACCATGTAGGTGGCGATCTGCTCCCTGCGCCTGTGTACACCACAGTGCTCGCGTGCACCACAACGCGCGTGTACACCACAGCGCGTGCGTACATCGCAACAACCGTGTGCAACGCAGCGCCTATGTACACTGCAATGCTTGCGAACAATACAACGCCTGTGTACATGTGCGCACCGGAGGCAACCATGTGCAACACAGCGCCTGTGTACACCACAGTGTTTGCGTGCACCGCGGCGCCAGTGCACGCCACAACGCCTGTCTACACCACAGCATCCGCGCGCAACGCAACGCTATTGTACACCACAATGCCTGCGTGCATAGGACAGGTAGAAGGAGCCTGTACGTGAGGATCTGCTGCGGAAGCGCCACGCCGGGAAAATACGGATAATCGAATGCGACGTTTTCCCTCTTCCCTTCACCTCCACTTCCACCTCCTCCTCCTCCTCGTCCTCCTCTTTTCCTTCTTCCTCCTCCTCCTCCTCCTCCTCCTGCTCCTCCTCCTCCTCCGTACCCCGAGTCGTGCGGGTTGGCGCGACAACGCACGTGCGCAGCTTAGCGTGCACCGCAGAATTGTCTATTGAATCGGCCCACTTGGTGCTCGGACGGCCAATTTCGCTGGAGCATCCTGGACGCAGATGGGAGGAGTTATGGTGATGCGGGCGAACTCGGAAAGACTCGTAGATTTTCCTGGCGCTTCCTCGGCCATAAGGATTTGTTTTGTTATTTCGGTGGAATACACAAAAAAAGCTCCTTTTTTGTCATAGTGATGATTCCTTCTAACATTCTACATACAACAATGGTGTTGTGTTGCACACGGTTGCTGTGATGCACGCAAGCGCCGTGATGTACACATGTACTGCAATGCACGCAGGCATTGTGGTGTACACTGCTGTGTTGCACACGGCTGATGAGGTGTACGCGGGCGCTGGGGTGTACACAAGACCTGTTGTGCCTGCGCGCGCGGTGGCACAAACCGACGCTGTGTTGCACGCGGCTGCTATGGTGTACATAGGCGGGGTGGCGTACACAGGCGCTGTGGTGCACGCAGGCACTGAGGTGTACACAAGCATTGTGGTGCAGATCGCCACCTACATGCTGGTGGCACCCGTCCTCCGTCGTTCCTAGGCATTCCCAGGCGCCGCCGGCGCGAAGCATGACGTCATCGACCCCCTCCACCCCCCCAGATGATTGCCGTCATCGGCCCAGAATAAAAAAAAACAAAAAAAAAAAAAAAGGTTCCAGCCGCGTCCGCGCGCACGACGACGCTGAGCGACGAGAGACGAGCGACGAGCGACGACGACGACGACGTCGACGACGACTGCGGACCAGACTCCCATGCGGATTCCTACGCGGAGACCTACGCGGATCCCAATACGCACGGCGGCAGTGCCCGGAGCGCACTGGGGGGGGGAGCGTTACGTCATAGGGGGGGGGGCAGGCGGGGGCCCTGACGCTCGTCATGCCCCAAGCAATCCAGATATGGCCTCGAGCTACATGGACCCCAGGTGTAGACGACAGGAGGACAGGCTGGACATCACATTGCGAATGGTTCAGTCGGGCATGGTAGGCTATGTCAAGACGGTCAGGGAGTATGTGGAAGTGTTTACGGTGGTGAAGAACCAACACGTGGACTCCCAGAAGGTGGAGAAGAGCCGCTTGGCCAGGGACTGCGGGAGGGTGAACCTCTTATTCAGGGACCCGCCCTGGGTCCCGCTGGGCAGCCCCGCATCCCTGGCCCTGTTGGAGCTGGACGAATCAATCCTACATGGGCGACGGCTCTTCTCTTTTCAAGGCGACATTCACGACGGTTTCTACCGTTTACGGTGGCCTCACTGCTTGGCGGAATACTTTAATTTTGTGTTGCCCGAAGTGACCCCTCACCAGATCTACGACTATGTCCAGAAGCAGAGAGCCTCTGTACCGAAGCTGTGCGAGGAAGACATTGGGATTGGTGCGATGTCTCCAGTGATGGGATCCAGCAGGGCGGTGTTCTTGGCGCACAGATGCTTGGCCGACACGCTGGAGGAGCTGACGGAGATGGTCTTTGCCCAGATCACGCACAGCCGACATACCCCATCCTTCGAGTCGGTACAGCTGATGCTCCTCCTGTACATCGGCGACTACATCAGGCTCAAGTTGTGCGGGGACGACGGCGACTAGCTAAGGAGGACTGGGGGGAGGGTATGACGCGAGTCTTCGGGTTGAGCATAGGATCCAGACCCTACCGCCTGATAGTCGTCCGAGACCAGATGCGAGATCTGGTGCTAGCTACCGAGACCGTGGTGGTACTGGGCAAGGTGACCCCGACAGCTCTGAACAGCTTACTGGGGATGTGGACGTGGGCCATCATGACCAACCGATCTGCGTTCACCATCATGGATGCGACCTACCAGGGGATCACCAAGCTCGAGGACGAGGAGGCCTTCAAGTGGCAGGATCTCGACGCGCAGACGAAGAGCGAGCTATAGGCGCTGGCCTCAATGCATGTCTACCTGGAGGCGGACCTGGACGCGCCCTGGCTGGAGAAAGTCTGCATGATGGACGCCTCGGAAGAAAGTTTCGCCGCGGTGGTGACGGAAGGGGACCTCGAAGAGATCAGGGTGGAGCCCAACCGTGGGGCCATCCAGTCCTGGGTCGTGCAGGCGGAGGCAGCGTGCACCGAGATCGAGCAGGAGGTGGCCGCGGAAGGGGACGAGGAGGACGAGATGATCTCTCCAGAGATGGAGAGGCATGGTTTTCCGGAGCTCTTCGCGGGCAGCGAGAGGCTACTCGACGCGGTGCGGGCTTGCAGTCTCTCTTGTGGGGAGAAGCATGGGACGTGAAGAAGGGCCCTGAGTTCGACCTGCTCGACGTGGCGAACCTCGAGATGTTTTTCCGACGACTACGGTGGCGATGGTGGTGGTGGGTGCACCTGGCACCTCTATGCGCTACCTTCTCGAGGGCTCGGGCACCACCCTTGCGCTCAGCGTCACCACCCTGGGGAGTTCCTGGATTGTCCGAGGCCGACTTGGAAAAGGTGCATGTAGGCTCGAAGCCGTGCCTGGTGGCGGTCCAGGTGGCGTTGTTCTGCGTTCGGGAAAGTATATACTTCGTGATCGAGAAATCCGAGTCCAGCCTCATGTGGAACCATACCCCGATGGTCCAGCTGCGCGACAAAGCCGAGGTATCACGGTCAACCTCGACTACTGCATGTACGGCGACGACTGGAAGAAAGGACCACCCTGATCACAAACTGCAAGGCGCTGGTGGTGTTTGGGAGGAGGTGCCAGGGCAAGCGGGGACGCTGTCCGAGAACGGGCATGCATCAAGAGCTTTGTGGCAGTGCACCGTGTGGGACCAAGTGGACGAGTCTTGCCTGTCCCTACCCCATGCTGTTCTGCGAGGCCTACGCGAATGTCGTGAAGGAGGTGGAACCGAGCTGGCACCGGGTACCCTCGGGTGCGCAGGTCCGTCTGCGACACAGGCTACCTCAAGTGGTCAAGGCACGAGCGCAGCAGCTGCTCCAAAGAGAAGCCTGGCTGGTCGAGAAGAGGTGGAGGGTGCTCTTCCGAGGCCGCTGGCAGAGGGAGGAGCACAACAACGTCCTGGATCTCAGTACGATCACCGGACTCTTCTGGCACCTCTCGTGGACATCAAGAGCGTGGAGGTCCAGGGTCCTCATCATCCTTGGGAGTGCTGGTAAAGGGGCGGAGCTCTGCGCCTGCGCTGCTGCACTTGGCCAGGGTGGCGGGCGTCATCCAGCTGGTGTGCAGGCTGAGGGCCTACTACGGCTGGGTCCCGTCCGAGGTGAACGTCGCGGACGGGCCCTCACAGTTCGCGCACCTGGGTGGGGCAGAGGAGACGAAGGAAGGCCACAGGACGAGATATACGCCGAAGCGGCTACTGCACTGGCTTCGAGGACTAAGACCGCAAGGCCGATATGGGTCCTCTCTCTGATGGTGATGGTGACGAGCATGCAGCGGGTGACAGCCGCTCCGAGAGGATCCAAGCCCCCGCCGCTCAAGACAAGAGGTGAGACGGCATGGGAAGCTGTGCGGTCCGCTCCGCTGAAGAACAGCAACAACCTGGTCTTTCACGCGGTCGACGACAACAGGAACGTCCAGTACGAGAGGGCCGTGAAGGAGTTCCTGGTGGACGTCAAGCGCGGCCAGCTCCCCTTCAACACGATGAGCGAGAGGGACAGGACCCTGGCGGACTACATCGCGAACTTCTGCTACGTGCAGGGCGCCAGCTTCATGAATGCCAGCTATTGCTTCAACGGGTTCATGCACATTTTCGAGGACCACAGGAACCATCTCCCAATGGCCGCCAGGGCCCTCAAGAGCTGGGAGCGCATGGGCTTTGGAGGCGAAGGCGAGCCGATTCTGATGGAGGCCATGGGCGTCATCATCCAGACCTTCTTCGAGCGCGGTGAGGTCCTGGATCGCGCCGCGGCCCTCATTCAGCTGGATGGCTGGCTGCAGGAGCAGGATTGGTGTCAGCTGCGGAAGGACGATGTCAGCATCGACTCGGACGGGCGCATCGGACTGATCCTAGGACGGCGTGAGAGAGGAGAGAAAGTCAAGACGGGTGCGGATCAAGGCGACGAGCTGAAGATGAAGTGAGCAAGGCAGTGATTCAAGCACTGGTGGACGGCCTCAATGGAGACGAGCTAGTTCTGCCCGTGAGCGGGGGCAACTTCGGGCGGGCATGGGGAAAGCTCCGGCACCCAGCTCGAGAGCCTAGGGCCACCCCACGGCATCCGGCATGCAGCGGCGGCCAACTTCGTCGCGGCTGGGGGCGGCCTCGAGGAGGCACGACGACGCGGCAGATGGAAGACACCAGGAGCGCTGAGCAGATACACGAAGGTCCACACTCTCATCAGAACGCGAGCACAGCTGCCAGAGGACGTGGTCCAGCGAGGCAGAAAGTTCTGGAGAACACCGACGAGACACATCATGAACGCCATCGCGACCTCCCAGGCGGCGGATACCCGTTGGCTCAGAGGCTGACCGCCTCGCTCGGGAGGGTCAGAGGCGACTCCGTGTCAGTATTCGGAGCTGCGGCAGCCGACACCAGTGAGCCATCAGGTAAGCCCTCAGCAGCTCATCGGGCGAGGCTCCGACGCACGAGCTAGCCTCTTCGCCTCTATTTCCCACTCTCTCTCATTCGATCACAGTCGAACCAATACTTCAGGAGTTCAGGGCTAGCCATAAGGGGGTTGCGGTTGTAAATCCTACCAGCCCTCTGGGCGCAGGTGGTCTAACGATGTCTTCCCTCTTCGAAGAATCTCTTGTTTCCCTTCGGGGAGAGGTTCATCACTGTTCTGTGTTAATCAACACCCCCTTCCCCACCCGGCCGGCGGCCAACCCGGAACCATGCCGACTCCATGAAGGCTCGCCCCCCACCATCCCTGTCAAAAAACAATACAAATCGCACTCAGCCTCCACATTAAGAGCGTGCTCGGTCATCCCGATGTGCCCCCCCCACACACACATCACCCCGTCAAACAACAATGCGAAGTACACTCTGGGGCAAAGTCTTGAGTCATGTTCGTGAGGCCCGCGAGCACTTTGACGGCGGGGGTGTCAACATATTCCCTGCACCTCGCGGCTAAATCTGGATCATGAGCGACCATCCCGCATCACTGTCAAGTGGTTCTTGAACGGGACGGCGGGGGTGGCGGCGCGTGGCCTGCTGTGCGCAGGCCCACCAGACACAATGATGGGCATTGGTTTTCGACAAGGATGGTGGGGGCCGACATGCTTCCCGATGTGTGCTGTCACGTGCGCAGGCGTACCCGACGCACTCTGCACGTGCCCCGAGCGTGGCGCACCTGGCTCGGCTGGTGTGTGCGGCAAACCTGGCGCACTCGGAGCACGTGGCGCATCTGGCGCACCAGGCGTGCCTGGCACGCTCGGGCCCAAGGGGTGCCTGGCGCGCGTGGCGCCCCTGGCACGCGCGGCGCATTTCGCCCAAGCGTCGCGCACCTGTCCAAAGACGACCGCTGAACATGCTCGGGCTCCGGTGATACTTATGTGTTGGGAGGGCGGGCGGGAGTGAGCCAGACGGCTTGCGGGCGGGTGGGTAGCTTGACCCGTCCCCCTACCCCCTCCCCTAGGCTTACTGGACGGGCGGGTTCGCGAGCGGTCTGGGCGTCCAAGATAGCCTGAGATGGCTCCAAGAGGGCCTCCGAGAGGCTCTCGGACCGAGAGCCCAAGATGGCCTCCAAGATCGCTCAAGATAGCCCAACATAGCTCAAGATAGCTCACAACATGCCTCCAAGAGGCCCCAATAGGGCCACAAGACGGATCCAAGTGCTTTTGGCGACCCCTCAGGGCCTCCCCGAGAAGCCCAAAACCTTCAGAAACTTAAGGCTCATCACTGATGTTTGCCTTCTCGCCTCTTCCGATCCGCTTTTGAAGCCTCCGGGCCCTAAGATGGCCCAAGGGAGCTTCGATAAGGGCCCAAGAGGCTCCCAAGACTGACCCAAGAGCGCCCAAGATCTCCCCAAGAGCGCCCCAAGGGGCTGTTGCGATGGCCCCGGAGGGGCAGGGAAATCGAGGACCCCCCCTCCTTTGATCGATGGTCTCCAAGATGGTCCCAGGAGGCGCTCCATAGCTCCCAAGAGGGCCCCAAGAGAGCCCCAAGAGAGCCCCGAGAGGGCCCCCCCATGAGGGCCCCAAGGCGCCCCAAAAGAGCCCCAAGAGGAACCCAAGACCCCCCAAAGAGCCCCAAGAGGGCCCCAAGATGCCCCAAAACAGCTCCCAGAGGACCCCATTATCTTCCAATGCAGCCCCGTAGTTCCGAGAAGGCCTCAAGATAGCCTCCAAGATGGCTCAACACCTTCCTTCCTCTCCTCTCCTTGCACGCTCTGCTTCACGATGTGTCTCTTCGTGCCTTTTTCCGTCAGCTCTCATGGGCGGGGCTTCTGAATGGGCTGGTGGGGATTCTTTTTGGTCGCAGCCACCAGCGAGCGCGCAAGCGGCGAGAGAAGTTGTCCGGGCCGACGGGCAAACCTAATTAGCTGCAACTGGTGGGGATTCGCGAAGCGTGAACAATTTGATTGACTCCTCCTTCCTCCCTCCCTCCCGGCCGTGAAGCAGGCTGTGTTTCTTCTGAGGCCTTTCGGCCAGTAACTTCCGTACGGCAGAATGCGGATTATCTCATTTTGTTTTCTGGCGAGAGAAGCCCCCTGGCAACGGTCAGGTGGTGCGCGTGGCATCGGCGGCGTGATTGCTCCTCGTGCTCTCGAGATTTGCACGTGGTTGAACTACTTCAGGCTGGTCGCCCCCACCTTGTGTCAAAATGGATCGTACTGGCTTTATCTCATACCCCTCTCGGGGTGATCCGCCCGACCCTGCTTGTGGCTGGCCCCTACCCCTTAGCAGCATGACATAAAGGAACTGTCCTGGCCACGGCGAGCCTGGGCAACGAACAGGCTCTCCGTCCTAGATCTAGTCTAAGGAACGGCCCGAAAAAAACTAGAAACCCTCCTGCGCCCAATATTGCCTTTTGTTTCAGCGTCTTGACTGAGCACACCTGGCGGGAGACTTTCCAGCCGCCCGACCTGCACCGGCGAGAGCAGCGGCAGAGGCGAGGCCCTCCGCGATCGCCGCCCGCGCCGCCCGCTCGATCTCGGCCGCGATCGCCGCGAACTCGGCCTCATCGCCCGGTGCCGTGGCCGCGGGCTCGGGGCCCTCGTCCTCGGAGGCTGGGGCCGCCTCCCACTGCGCAGCGGCCGTCGGGCGCCCCTGGCGATCCTCAGGGGCCCAAGCGCCGTCCCGCTCACCCAGCTCGGGCTCCTCCGCCCAGGGCGCTGGGGGCAGGAAGCCGGCACAAGACGAGCTCGCGCCATCGGCGCGGCTCTCTGCCGGGCCGTGTGGGGAGGGGCGGGCCTGCGCGGCGCCCGAGGCCAGCAGCTTCGGGGCCAGCTGTGGCCTTGCTGCGGGGCCCCTCAGTTGGGCGAGGTTGCCGTTGAACCAGCACGCCCCGCACCATAGCTGCCCAGACACGGGGTGCGGCAGGAGCTCTGGCCCAGACGTGCCCCTGCACGGCGGGTTACCGCACTGTGGCCCCATTCTGTGCGCCGGCTCTGCTGGCGGCGGCGGCGACGCTGGGGGAAAGCTGGATGGTCGGGTCTTGCTCACCGCGGAGGGCGCGCTTGCGGCTGCCCCGTCCGCGGCCGCGGCCGCGCTGCCCAGCCCTACGATCGGGGGCAGTGGCGTTCTCCAGACCGCGGGTGGTACACTCGCGGCCACCGCGGGCGCGGCCGCCATGGGCGCGACAGCGGCGCCCCACAGCGCGGCGGGCGGCGGCAGCGACAGCGCGCCACCCCACAGCTGCAAACAGTCGGCCGGCATGTACACGCGCCCCACGCGGTAATCCGCGTAGCCGTCCTGGCGATTGTTACACGCTGACCATGGCCCCGCTGGAGGGTTGGGCTTCCCGCGCACCTCCCTCCGCTGCTCGTATGCCCTTAGGGAGCCGCTCGCCGTGAAGTGCTCGTCATAGTAGCACGCGGGGCCCCTCCTGTGGCACTTGGGGAAGGCTTCCCACCTCACGTCCTGAGGGAGGAACTCGACATAGGGGCCGTGGTCGCCGTAAACCACGCGCCTGTACCCCTTGGCGACCACCACGCTCGGCTCTGCGGGATCGGTGAAGGCGGGGCCAGGGTCCCCGTGCTCCGTCAGCCCCAGCCTGCCCTCTATCCTGGCCTTGTCGCGCAGCCGATTCCAGGAGTCCGCAGTCGTCCTCGGGAACGGCGTATCGACGGCGCGTGGGTCCACCTGCGCGAGCTGCTGTGACTGCAGCGCCTGCACGCCGGCCGACTTGGAGAAAACGGCGTCGGCCGCGGGCGTCTTCCAGAAGGCCGGCCTGGCCAAAGCCTCGCTGTCGGTGGGCTCGCCCGCTGGCGGCGGCGGGGGCGGTGCGGGAGCCGGCGTCTGCCGGCGGGGAGGGGCGGACTTCCGGACGAGCAGCGAGGCGGACGTCCTCGCGGGCGCCGCCCTGCTGGAGACTCGGGCCGCCGACTTGCAGACGAGCAGCGAGGCGGGCGGCACAGCGCGGCGCTCGGGCGGCGGCTCGGCCCACGGAGGCGAGGCCAGGGCGGCCTCGCAGAGGCCTGCCTCTCCCAACGCCTCCAGCCGTCGACGGGCCTCTGCAGCTCGGTGCCGCTCGGCCTGCAGCTCGCGCCGCCACAGGGCGCGCAGCCTGCGGAGCGCCTCTTCGAACGAGGGCGCCGCGTCCGAGCCCTCCTCGCCGTCCTTCCCCACAGAGCCGAGGCTCTGGGCGGCCTCCCGGCGCCTGCCGCAGCACAGCCACCCGAGCCGCGGCCGCTTCGGCTGCCGCGGCCCGCAGCCGTCCGGCTCGCACGGCAGTCCCGCGGCCTCCGCCGCCGCGAGCGCGCGCCGCAGACGGTACTCTTCGTCCCTGCGGCGGCGCTGCAGGGCGGCCACCTCGGGCTGATGGCCCCCAACGGCCGCTCTGGGCAGTTCTCCTCCCTCCTCCTCCTTCCTCCCTCCTCCTCCTCCTCCTCCTCCTCCTCCTCTTCCCCTCCTTTTCCTCCTCCTTCTCCTCCTCCTCTCCAAGAGCCACGACCCCTTTCCCTCTTGATCCTCCACAAGGAACGCAATCCTCTCCTCCTCTCCTTCGAAACCACCACCACCACCTCCTTCTCCTCCTCCTTTTCCTCCTGCTCCTTCTCCTCTTCCTCCTCCTCCTCCTTTTCCTCCTCCCCCCTCGTCCTCACCAACATCAAGACTTATCTTAAGACTGTTCGCTGTTATCTGCTCGCGTGCCACTGAACACATCAGCGCGTACATCTCTGACCATCGGCACCCGCCCTCTTCGTCGTTTTCAATCGAACCCGCTTCGGGGCTCTAATTTCGTTACCTGCCACGGAAGGTTGGCGAAGCCCTTCGAGGGAGTAAGGAACGAAGAGACAATGGGGGAGGGAGAAGGATGGCCAACGAGAGAGAGAGAGAGAGAAAGCGTAACACGAAGCGGGTGAAGATCAGTCAGCACACGGTAGAAACGAGCGGGTCGAGCGGGCGGGTCGTTGAAGCGTCAATCCTGCACGATTCGCGAACATGTCTCGAGCGATAACGCATTTTCCAAGTACGCCGCGAAAAATCCAAAGCGAGAGTGTGATTCCTGGTTGTCGCGGGCGCGGCGTATGGACAAACTGACAGGAAGCCTCACGCCACAGCGCGATTCCTCCATTCATTTCAGGAACTTCGGCGCGGAAGAGTATTGCTTGATTATATATTTATATAAACTAGAACCATCGCGCGCTTCGCGCGCGCTCAAGTTCTAGCTAGGCCTTATAGGCTAACTAATGTAATATCATGCTGGTCGCTTCTTGCGTCCAAGGATTCCCTTGGAGGCCCTGCGCAAGCCTCGGAATCGTATAGAAGGGAAAGTGCGGAAACGTAGAAATCATTTATTTCCTTTAGGTATTCAACGATTTGGGGCCCTCAAAAGCTTCCTGGACTCTTTTTTGGGAGGTGAGGGGGGTCTGAATTGTGGTCTGTTGCGCAAGAGTAGACCGGGAGCCAAACTTGGAAAAAACAGGAATTGTAGGATTCCCATGTTTTTCCAGTTCCTCGGCGCTGTTTGGCGCTGTTTTTTGTTTGTGCCTCGCGGGTTTTTTTAGCCTGCCCCCTCAGGGGTGTGGGATCTTCCGGACCCCCTGAGGGTTCTGGAGGCCTCCTGGAGGCCTGGAGAACCGTCGGAAGGGTGTCTCGGGCTGCGCGGGAGCGTGTTGGGCCGTTCTTTACGTTCTGGGGGCTCCCTTGGGTCGTCTTGGGATGTCCTTGGGCGTCTTGGGGGCCCCGGGAGCCCCCCGGGGAGCCGGGAGGCGCGGTACCGGCCAGATGTCAGAGGATGTGTGGGATCTTTGAATAGGAGTCCCACTCTACAAAAAAATAACTCTGGGTTTCAAAGTCCTCGATCTTCGAGGGTTGGAAGCGGGAAAACGTGCGAAGGCGAAAAACATTAGAAAAACAATTGGAAATCCATGAGTTTACCCTCTTTGGGCTCTCTCGGGACGGCTCTCGCAGCTCTCTTGGGCTGTTCTTGGAGCCTCGTCGGGGCCTCTCAAGGATCAGGGGTGTGTTGGGGGCCTCTTGGGGGTCCTGGAGGCCTCTCGGAGGTCTCTGGAAGCCTCCTGCTCCCGCTTTTGGGCCCATCTTAGGCATGTTCTGGGGTGGTCTGGGGCTGTCCTGGGCGCCTCTTCGGCAGTCTTGGAGCCTTCTTGGCCCGTCTTGGGGCCGTCCTGAGGGTCTCTTGGTTGGTCTTGGGGCGGTCTTGGGAGCCTCTTCGGCGCTCTTAGACCGTTGGAAGCTCGAAAACGCGAGAAACCAAAAACAATTAAACAAAACAATGAGAATCTACGATGTGGGCCTCTTCGGGCCGTCCCGGGACGCCTCTCGGACCTCTCGTTGGGTCTCTTGGAGGCCACCTGGGAGAGCCTCGAGAGCCGTCGGAAGGCTGACTTGGGCTGCTTGGGAGCGTCTTGGGCCGTCCTTTCGCATTCTGGAGGCTCCTGGGAGGCGTCTTGGGCGTCTTTTGATACCCGCCCACTCTGTTTCAATCGTACCCTTTTTGGGGGGTGTATTTTTCTTCTCTCCGGGCCACGGCAAGCGGCGGGGCGGCCGCGGACCGTCGGCCTGGCCAGCGGCAGCACTGACCGGCGGCAACCCGACCCCAAGAGGAACGGACAGGGGACCGACCACAACGACGACGACGACGACGACGACGACGACGACGACGACGACGACGACGACGAGGACGAGGACGACGACGGCGACGACGAGCGAAAGCGAGAGTGAGAGCGACAGCGGGGCCACGAAGGACAGGAAAGGGGCCATGAAGGGCGACAGCGGGGCCACGAAGGGCATGCACATCGGGCCACGGCGGGCGCGAACGAGCGGGGGCCACGAAGGGCAGATAATGCGGGGCCACAGGAGGCAACGACGGGGCCACTGAGGGTAGCAACGGGCCGCGTAGGGCACCGAGGGGGCCACAAAGGGCGACAGCGGGGCCACGAAGGGCATGCCTATGGGGCCACGACGGGCGCGAACGAGCGATGGCCACGGGGGACATGCGTATTTTGGGCCGCAGAGGGCAAGGACGGGGCCACTGAGGGCAGCGAGGGGGCCACGAAGGGCAGGAAAGGGGCAACGAAGGGCGACATCCAGGCCACGAAGCGCATGCATATGGGGCCACGACGGGCGCGAACGAGCGGGGGGGGGGGGGGGCACAAAGGGCAGCGAGGGGGCCACGAAGGGCAGATAATGCGGGGCCACAGAAGGCAACGACGGGGCCGTTGAGGGTAGCAACGCCACGTATGGCAGCGAGACGGCCAAAAAGGGGGACAGCGGGGCCACGAAAGGCATGCATATGGGGCCACGATGGGCTGCAACGGGGCTACGAAGGGCAGCTCCGCTGCCGACACCACCAGCCGAGGCGGTGGCAGCATCAGCGCCAGCAGAAAAAGGAGACCTGCCAGGAGGAGGATCCCAACCAGGAGGAGAAACCCTACCAGGAGAGAAACTTCTACAGAACTGCGCGCTCCCGGACCTGCGGCTGCGGCACCACGAGGCGCCGGATCATTTGACGGCATGGACGTCGATAGGGCCAGACTGCACACTAAGAGCTGCAGGCATGAGTCACCTATGGACGTGGATCCAGCAGCACCAGCTTCGGCGGTGGGAGCGGCAGCGGCGAGCAGCTCACGACCACCAGCTCAGGCAATGGTAAGGGCGGTACAAGCAGCCGGGACAGCGGCTTCCAAACGGGAGCGAGACGGAGACGACGGAGGTGATCAGCCCTGGAGCAACTCACGGATCGCTACGATCTGCGCGGTCAGCGAGATGTGTGACGAGCCGACGGTGGAGGACGACAAACCTACGCGAACGGAGGCGACTTCCACAAGGAGCGGATGGAGCACATCGAGAAGATCGCGGGCGACGGCAAGCAGATGGTGAAGCAGATTCCGATCGTCGAGACGACCTCCAAGATCCTGACGAGCACGTGGGTCGACACCTACCAGACCAACGGCAGAAAAAAGAGTAGGTGGACCACTCGGGGATTCGAGCAGCAGACCTACGGGCATGATAACTTCGTTTCGACCACCTGAAGGCTATGATGGCCACGTGGTGGAATTCGGCGACTGCGGTGGGCATTCTACCAGGCGCCCCTGACAGAGGACAGGATCTACTTGGAATCACCGCCCGAAGCAGGAGTACCAGCAGGTTACGAGTTGGAAGCGCTGCGCACGTTCCCAAGAGGGAAAGGGGCACCAAAGGCATGGGAGGATCACGGCGCAGTGACGATGGAGCACATGGGTCTTGATCGAGGGCGCTACGACGGCTGCATCTTCATGATGGCCCAAGACTAGATCAAGGCAAGACGACACGCTGATGCCTTCCTCGCGGCAGGGCGACCATCTACTGGTGGACATGGGCGAGAAACTTCGGCTCTCGGACGTTCTACTACACAAGCGACCAGGATACCCTCATGAGCGCTTTGGTCCGCAAGATCGAGGGCGGCTATACCATGCAAGGATAAGATGTCGCTTCGAGGACGTGCTTCTGGAGATCGGGTTGCAAACAGCAGAATCCTTAGTAGTCCCGGAAACGAGGGAGGTTACGCAGAAGGGCGACGCCTTCCTGAACGCAGCAGGCCACGGCGCGTACAGGATATGCGCGGGGAGGTTACTACAACTGTCAAGCCACAGGGCTGACATACAACACGGCGTTGAAGTGCTTAACCGTGGCATGGCGGCACCAACTCAAAGAGACCAGCGTAGGTTGAAGAAGATGGCAAGGTACCTGGCAGGGACCCAAAGATGTGGAGTTGATGCTGGAACAATACAAACATATCAAACATATCGTATAGTGCCATACGGAAACAGACTTGGCAGACAACCGGGACGACAGGATCTCAGTCAGCAGCTACGGGAATACTACGGTGCACTGTGCTGTCGTGGGCACGGCATCAATGCGGCGTGGCTCTGAGCTTAGCGGAGAGCGAACTTTACGCATCAGGATCCGGAGCAGCCGAGGCGCTCGGACTGGCATCGCTGATAAGCGAGAGGCACGAGAACGTGACGCCTGCCCACGGCAAGCGACAGCACCAGCACACTGCACATCGTAGAGAAAAGAGGGCCAGGTAAGATGAAGAACGTCGAGATCAGATTCTTGGCTTTGCAGCAGTGCGGCGAGCAGAAGCGCCTGGAGTACGAGCAGATCCTCACGGACGACAACTCGGCAGACATGCTGACGAAGCCGATGACCCAGGAGTCTGACATGACTCTGGTAGGTCATATGGCATCAAATTCCATGTCGAAGGAATACGATATGGGGTGTGGGTGGGTAGGATAGGAGTCGATCGATGTATAAATCTTTCCAGCACATAGCGAATACCACGTCAGATATCCGGGCAAATAGGG